ATCGGTTCCGAATCTGGAATGGGCGGTATAGGAAGAGTTGGGAAAGTCGTTTATTTAGGTGAATGGGTGGGTGGGTGAATTTTGGGTGAGTGGAGGGATGAATAGGTGGGTGGGTGGGTGGAAGGGTGAGTAGGAGGGTGGGTGGGCGGAAGGGTAGATGGGTGGGTGGGTGGAGGGATGAGTAGGTGGGTGGGTGGGTGGAAAGGTGGTTGTGGGTGGGTGGAAGGGTAGATGGGTGTGGGTGGGTGGGTGGATGAATAGATGGGTGGGTGGGCGGAAAGGTAGATGAGTAGGTGGGTTGGGTGGGTGAATGGATGGGTGGGTGGATAGATTTATGAATGTATGAAAACGTAAATCAGTAGACAAGAGATAGACAGATAAATAGACGGATCGATAGATAAACAGAAGAAATGACAGATAATTAGACAGATAGACAGATGAATAGATAGATAGATGAATAGATAAATATTTTGCAGTAAATAAGACACTCTTATCTTTAAAATCTTATTCTTCGTTATTATAATAAAGACGAAGTATTAACAATATACTACAATGATACTACTTATACAGCTCATACAACAAGAACTACAACAAAAACATCAAACAAATACCATTAGCCAATAAATAATAATAAAAAAAAACATAATAAATAAAATAAAAAATGGACAATATGTAGTATAAATTAGTGGCAGAGTTGGGTAATAAAACCTACATGAAATGATAAAACAATACAAACCAAGGCAAAGTCGCTCGTCTTGTTTACATTGCGAGGGTGAATTCTAGACGCATATTCTACCACAGGGGGTCCAGGAGGCATAAGGCATAACCCCCCTTGGTAGGCATATATATTACCATGGGGGTCCTTGGCTAGGGAATATATACCACGGTGTTAGGTTAGGTTGGATGTTGGGTTCAGGACGTTTTGTTTAACAACCACGGGGGTCCTGTTTTACCCCATAATTTCCCTGATATACCTCATGCCCTTCCCTGCTATCGGGACTATCAAATCAAGATTGTCGATGGAGATGGTGATCATATCTCCTCAATGATTCATTTGCACAAGGAACAGTGCCTAGAATCGTTGAAAGCAGTGGATTTCCTGCAGAAAAATATCAAAATTGTTTCGAATGTAACCCACTACCTCTTCTACATATTGACGGGGGGGGGGAGAGATCTCTTTTCTTTTACGTATAGCACTCTTGGGATACATTTGCACACATATACATAGAAGAACTTCGTCTTGGTTTGTATTGCTCTATCAGTTCATGTAGGTTTTATTACCCAACTCTGCCACTACCTTATACTACACATTGACCAAAAAAATGAAAATAAATAAT